GGAATTGAAGAGATGAACGGCTGGAGAATTAATTTCCCTAACTCCTGAAACTGCAGAAACTGATCTAAGGAGTTGATCAGATTTTCATTTATTTCCAACATCAGATTTTCATTTATTTCCAACAAAAAAGTTATAGAGTTAGACGCTTCGTTTTAAAGGTAAGGGATGTCGATGCTCTTTTTGGCCAAGATTCAGGCCCCAGGTGTAATTTATCCTATTATGATTTAGTTTATAATACCACGAGTTTTAGCCCCTATTATCTCCATTATATTATGGGGACGCGATGATAATTATAAAGCTCTTTTAATTGACTCTAGAGTCAACGTATTTTAGGATAACGTGGAAAGACTAGTGTCATGAAATTCAATTTTGATAACAAGATCACTAATTAAATCATTTGAGTTAGAGTCACGAAAAAGTTTCTATACGGCTTAAAATATGAAGAGTTTTTTTTTTTCTGTTTGAGTACAAAGAAAACAAAAACTTAGGCTGTGTTTGACAGTACATCTTTTCTATTTTCTTGCTTTTGGCCTGTTTGACAGTCACTTTTTTTCAAGGAAATTTTTTTCCCAGCCGCCACCACACGCGCCCATTTTCTTGCTTTTGACTGAAAAGGTTTTGGTGGGAAAGCTGTTTTCGAGGTTACTGAATTTTTTTTTTTTTTTTTTTGCCAATGGAAACAAATGTCATACCCAATGGTAAAACAAATTTCACTTTAATGGACAATTTCCATATAAAACAAAGTTAAACGAACACTAAACTTTGATAAAAAAATTATTTTTTTAAGAAACAAATTTTTTTCCCTTTTTTTTTTACTTTTTGGCAATGGAAACAAATTTTATAACCAATTGTGAAAAAAATTATCACTTTAATAAACACTTTCCATGTAAAACAAAATCAAACAAATAAAAAATTTAAAAAAATTTCGGTTGGAAAATTATACTAATCAAACACACTTAATTAATAATTCTCTGGAAAACATTTTTTAGACAATCATTTTCCCTGAAAATTATTTTCTTTACACCCAATTTCCACCATTACAATCAAACGAACTCTTAAAATTTTCCTTTAGTCCATCACGAACACACTATAAAAATAATGGAGCTTAAAAGGATTGACCAAACTAGGGCAACTGCCGCTTTTGTGCTTTCTTTGTGCATGCAAGGTGTATAGCTGAAGAACGTAGTGGTTTGTTTGAGTTTTACACCCCGTTTGTTTCCCATTATTTGAATACAAAATTTAATTTTTTTACCCTTTTTGTTCAACACATGGGTCCCACTGTGAGATAATGCAGTCAAAAGTTACGACTGCTACTACATGTAATGGTCGGAATTTTCATTAAAACGAGGTAAAAAATTATCTCAAACAGGGGCTTATTATTATAGTTAAAAATTAAAAGTCATTGTAATTTTAATAACACATTTTGTAGAACTCGCAATTACTACGTACCCACTAACTGATCACTCGTTTATGTGACAACATCTACATGATACCAGTTTGCCGTCCTTTTTGTGATTGGCAAAACACAAGGCATCTGGCTGGAATTTGTCGGTTAGAAGTCAAAATAAATAAATAAAAATAAAATTAGATTTGAAGCAACATCTTTATACACAGTTCACATAAAAGTATATTTTATTATAATAGTGTTGCCTTCACTGTAAGGAACCTAAAAATTCGATTCCAAAGAATTCCTGTTAATCAAGTTCCGACATAAGTTGCTTCCAATTCCATCAAGGAACAACAGAATGTTTGCATTAGAAACAACATTGTTGAAAAATCAACACACACACACACATATATGCATGTTATACTAAGGACATCATAGGAGAAGACTGAAAATAGTAAAGAAAAGAGATGGAAAGAAAAGATTGGATAATCAAAATAAAAAATGAACTCAACAGCATGGAGGATATTCCAACAGAGGTGGCGCGTTGGAAGAAGCGATCAATCTATAGGGTACCTGCAAGCGTTATTGATCTAAATAAGACGGCCTATAAGCCTCAGACAGTGTCTTTGGGTCCTTACCATCATGACGAGGACCACTTAAAGGCAATGGAAGAGCATAACAAATGTCATACCCAATGGTAAAACAAATTTCACTTTAATGGACAATTTTCATATAAAACAAAGTTAAACGAACACTAAACTTTGATAAAAAAAATGATTTTTTTAGGAAACAAATTTTTTTTTCCCTTTTTTTTTACTTTTTGACAATGGAAACAAATTTTATAACCAATTGTGAAAAAAATTATCACTTTAATAAACACTTTCCATGTAAAACAAAGTCAAACAAATAAAAAATTTAAAAAAAATTCGGTTGAAAAATTATACTAATCAAACACACTTAATTAATAATTCTCTGGAAAACATTTTTTAGACAATCATTTTCCCTGAAAATTATTTTCTTTACACTCAGTTTCCACCATTACAATCAAACGAACCCTTAAAATTTTCCTTTAGTCCATCACGAACACACTATAAAAATAATGGAGCTTAAAAGGATTGACCAAACTAGGGCAATTGCCGCTTTTGTGCTTTCTTGGTGCATGCAAGGTGTATAGCTGAAGAACGCAGTGGTTTGTTTGAGTTTTACACCCCGTTTGTTTCCCATTATTTGAATACAAAATTTAATTTTTTTACCCTTTTTGTTCAACACATGGGTCCCACTGTGAGATGATGCAGTCAAAAGTTACGACTGCTACTACATGTAACGGTCGGAATTTTCATTAAAACGAGGTAAAAAATTATCTCAAACAGGGGCTTATTATTATAGTTAAAAGTCAAAAGTCATTGTAATTTTAATAACACATTTTGTAAAACTCACAATTACTACATACCCACTTATTGATCACTCATTTATGTGACATCATCTACATGATACCAGTTTGCCGTCCTTTTTGTGATTGGCAAAACACAAGGCATCTGGCTGGAATTTGTAGGTTAGAAGTCAAAATAAATAAATAAAAATAAAATTAGATTTGAAGCAACATCTTTATACACTTTACAGTTCACATAAAAGTATATTTTATTATAATAGTGTTGCCTTCACTGTAAGGAACCTAAAAATTCGATTCCAAAGAATTCCTGTTAATCAAGTTCCCACATAAGTTGCTTCCAATTCCATCAAGGAACAACAGAATGTTTGATTTAGAAACAACATTGTTGAAAAATCAACACACACAAATATATGCATGTTATACTAAGGACATCATAGGAGAAGACTGAAAATAGTAAAGAAAAGAGATGGAAAGAAAAGATTGGATAATCAAAATAAAAAATGAACTCGACAGCATGGAGGATATTCCAACAGAGGTGGCGCGATGGAAGAAGCGATCAATCTATAGGGTACCTGCAAGCGTTATTGATCTAAATAAGACGGCCTATAAGCCTCAGACAGTGTCTTTGGGTCCTTACCATCATGACGAGGTCCACTTAAAGGCAATGGAAGAGCATAAGCACCGAGCACTTCTTCACTTTCTCAAAAGATCGGGAAAACCTATTGAGCTTTATGTTGACGCATTAGCGGAAGTGGCGGATAATTTGAAGGATGCATATGATCAATTGGCCACCAAATGGAAACTAGAAACTGAAGAATTTTTGGAGCTGATGATTCTTGATGGTTGTTTCATTTTGGAAATAGCGCGCACTGCCACACAGACTTTGAATGACTATGCTCCCAATGATCCCATCTTCAGCACTCATGGAAAGCTTTACATTGTGCCATACCTCAAACGCGATATGTTGATGCTTGAAAATCAGTTGCCTCTGCTGGTTCTTGAGAAGCTAGTTGCTGTTGAGAAAGGAAATTCTAAGGTAAAGATCTTTTTGATGCTTGTTAGATTGAATTATAAATATTTGTAGCATTTGTTTAATTTTCGTCTATTTCTAACTAATGCATGATTTATTTTTTATTCAGGGAGAAGAGAAGATTGTGAATAAGCTCATTGTCGACTTCTTTTCTCAAAAACCTGTTAGAAACATGGGAAAATGCCTGCACATTTTAGATCTATATCGGAAGAACCTGTTGGAAGAACCTCCACAGAAGAAGCATCACAAGAAAAGTCACCCTAAAGTTCACCACGGTGAAGATGAGATCATCCGTTCTGCTGCAGAGCTTAACGAAGCTGGTATCCAAATCAAGAAAAGTAAAACAAAAAGCCTAAAAGAGATCTCGTTCCATCGAGGGGTGCTCAAACTTCCACAAATAGTGGTTGATGATACTACTGAATCAATGTATCTAAATCTAATAGCATTTGAGCGACTTCATGTTGGTGCGGGAAATGAGGTGACTTCCTACATCTTTTTCATGGACAACATCATCGACAGTGCCAGAGACGTTAGCCTGCTGCACTCGAGTGGCATCATCCAGAATGCGATTGGCAGTGACAAAGCTGTTGCTAAATTATTCAATTCTCTATCCAAGGATGTTACGCTGGATCCTGAGAGCAGATTAGAAGAAGTGCATAAGAAGGTCAGTAACTACTGCAAGAAGCCATGGAATGCATGGCGGGCTGATATCATGCACAACTATTTTAGAAATCCATGGGCTATTCTTTCGGTCATTGCTGCAATATTTCTTTTCGCTCTAACCATAATTCAGACGGTATACGGCGTCTTAAGTTACGTCAAACCACCCTAATAGTCCGTGCTAATGTTTCATTTTGCGGTGTTTCTTCGATAAATAATGCCATGTGATTCACATGGCAACCTCATTCTGAAGGAATTTGCCCGACTTTCCGAGCACAATTTCTTTGTTTTGCTTTTTGTTTGATTGATCAATTGAATAATATATTTTGCCTGTGCTTTTTTCGCCTTTAATATTAATTTTTTCCCTGCCTCCTGTTAAACCATTCTGAATTTCACGGTATTTTTTAAGATAAAACAGGCTACCGACTATTTTCGCAGCAGTTTTAGGGATAAATTTCTCTCATATGAGTTCTAGTGTTGCTTCAACAACTATAAATTCCTTCAATATTTGTTTCTTACATTCTTAAAATTACTTTTCTAAAAAAAAAGTTTAACTTGTTTTGTAGAAAGGAAAGTTTAATTAGTAAACATTAACTTCAAAAATCATGATGGACAAAATAAGCAAAATCAAACGGGTCATCATTAATACTAAAAAATCTATTTATTTTCAGTCAAACTAATTTACATAAGAGGGTTACTTAGATAATATGTTGCTTCAATCAATTTAACTGAAAATACTAGACATCCAAAAGAAATAATCAGAACCAAAGTTTGAATTTATTTTAAACTTTAAACCATATTCAAGTCCAAATGGGCTTGCTCACAAAATATGATAATAGGTCACTCAAATCCAATCAAACATGGCCATACCAAAGTTTAAACTTATTTTCAATTTTAAACCTTTTTTAAAATAAAATTCAACAGTCAAAGTCAAAAATCAACAGTCAAAATTCTGGTATAAATCAAAAGTCAACTATAACAGGTCAAAATCGAGTTTTAGGCACCTTTTTCAAGTCCTAATGTGTTTGCTCACAAAATAGGATTGTAGGCCACTCAAATCAAAACATACATAGCTATCACTTTTGGTCAAAATATCGTAATTTTCTCCTTTCAAACAAAAAAAAAAAAAAATTCACAAAATTGAAACTTGATTCAATGGCCGAATGCATCAAGAACAACCAACAATCATTATATTATGAATCAAGATCCAATTTAGATATTCTTGAATCTTAAATTGATAAGAAAAAAATGACCTCAATTATTCTTAAACTTTAAAGAATTTCACAAAATCCAAACATTCTATTCGAGAAAAATAATCCAAACACCATATGAATAGAATATGCACAAATCTTAATAATCTAACAACAATGACCGCTCAGATACCACTTCTAGGTATATAAATCATATCTAAAATCGAAATCAAATCTAGATGCAAACATCTTAAATTAAAATGACCAAAAGTCTAGGATGTATATCATGCCAGAATATTAGGATTCACGAATTCGGGTTATATACCTGGATCCATTATGAATTATTGTTTAATGTTGTGGAATTACTACGACAATCGATCACGTACTGATGAACACGAATGAAGGGGTGTGGTTTGTGATCTCCCTCAATCAAATCGCCTTATTTCCTTAATGGGATTGTCGTCTCTCTTCTAGATGGGGAGAAGGAAAACTATATATAATTTGATATATAGGGAACCATAATAAATAAAAAAATGTCTTTATATATTGATTTATTAGAGTTCTCATAATCCCCTAATTATGACAATATTGGTATCTACTCAATTAGCCTATATTTATTAAATAACTAGTATAATTGAATTAAATATATTGCTATTAAATAGAAAAATCGTTTGTTTTCCTAACCTCCTAAATATTTGGGAAAACCAATAATTGATTCATCGCCGAAACTAGGGGTGCCAAATGAGCCACGAGTTGAGGCATACCCAAAAGGGTCTTTTATTTTTATTTTAAAGAAAATAACATTAACAGCAACATTTACACCAAAAAAACAAAATCTTAACCATGAATCAAGAGTAGGGAAGAAATAGCCTTTCCTCTCCGACTTCTTGTCCGTAGAGGTTTTGTTTTGGTGCAGGTTTTATTTTTTTTCAATCTGGCTCAGCTCTTAATCTGGAAGTTTAGGGCCCGTGTGATCCCAACTCCCTAGTCTGTAAGAAGTGTTTTGTGCAGATCAGGTTGGATGGCAAAGGCCTATATTTATGCTGGATTGAGGCTGCAGCTTTTGGATGGTGAAGGAATTGTGCTAATTTGGTTTTTCCATTTGTTTTTGTGCCTTGGATGGCTTTGTGGTAGATTATGTTTTAGCATAGGAAGCACTTAAACTCTCTGAGGAGAGAATTGTGTTGGAGGTAACATCTCCTTGTATTCGTTTCTTCCCACTTTGTTGTTTAATGAATTGCATTTCAAAAAAAAAAGAGTGGGAAAAAGAGATGGATACAAATTCCTTTCGTGGTAAGAACAATCATCTCTTACCATTTACAACTCAAAAGATGTTACACACACACAGATGGAGTCAAAGATACTTATATATTAGATATATAGCTTACTCTCTCCTCTCTCTTCAAACCCATTTTCCTTGTGGTATATCAATTTCACAGGAACTTTCAACTATTCGGAGTTCCTCCCTTGATCAAGTAGCGAAAATGTACTTAACATGAGAAAATTTCTTCACGGATATGGAACCAAAGATCGATTATCTTGAACATGGAGAGGCATCTTGGTCAGTCAAGCTTGGAGGTTTAAGAGAAGCATCAATATCTTTGTCGTCTGGATTTCTGTATTTAAGGTATTGTTCAATGTCTTTCATATCCGAGCTTCCACCTCTCCTGTGGTACCACCTCGGAGTGGACTTGATCCGTCTCTCACTAATCGCAATGGCTATGTCATTCGGGAACAGATCTCGGAGTACAGAGGCATGGATGATAGTTGTCACAAGTAGTGCACCCACTGTAAGTGTAGAAACAGAACAGAGAAAGACAGTTAAAGTTTTAGTTATCGCATTTTTTACCACATTTGAATATCTGATGGTGGCAATCGCGGCTCCAGTCATTGGAAAAGTGTAAGCCCACCAAGCCAATGAGAATCTGCAAATTATTATGGAGCAAAATTTTAACATTCAAATAAAATAAAGAAAATGTAGCATTGAATCGCATTGGTAGAAAATTTATACCTGAAGCCTCGGAAAAAATTAAGACTGATGGCCTTAAAAAGAAGGAAATGAAAGGAAAATGCATTAGCTACTTGCAATGTTGAACTAAGAACCTAATGGGTTCCTTTTAACATCAGAAACTCATTTTAAGCACTCATTACAAATTAATCAGTGTAAAACAACCTTGTTTTAAACTATCAGATAGGGAACAAATTTATATATTTAAGTTTAGTGTTACAAACAAACAACATTGATTGTATAGATCGAGATGCAATTCGTATAGATGCTAAGTTGAGTAACAGAGACTAACCAATGAAAAATAAAGGAAAAGGGCAATGAAGGAAGATATCCGTGATCCATAATCAAAAGACCCTTGAATCTTCGCCCACGCCATTGAAGCAACACTAGGTGCAGCAACAAAAAGGAAGAATACCGGGTGGAGTTCCTTCGGTAGTGTCTCATTCGTTGGAAGCCTTTGATAGAGAGTTACAAATAAGACTCTGTAATGAGCCAATCCAATGGCAAAGAAAAACACAGGCCCTTCTTTCATCCCCATGGATGCACCAAGCGAAGCTCCAACAAAATTCCCAACAACTGAGAGATGATTCGAGGGGTTGGCCACCCAAGAAAGCCTTCGTTGTCCTCCCGACATCCACTGTCCATATATCTTAATCTCAAGGCAAACGATTGGAGTCATAAGAATGTACCATAGACATGTATGAAGATTTTGAGTGACTGATGGTGGAACTCCAAGAACCAAGAACAGAAGGGCAATCCATGGAGCAAAAAAGAAGTTAATGCGTATTGGGTGGTAGTACTCACGACGAACAGCTTCAAAGTAGAAAATCACTTTCAGATTGTAAATGCAAAAGACAATTGCTACAAGAGCAACAGATGTGCACCAAAGCATCAGATTTATGTCTGGGCTAACGTGGAGGAATTTCGTTGAAGTAGAAGTGGCTAAGGTTTTCCACATAATGGCTTGGCTGCTAATACCAAGACTGATACTGAAAGAAGAGATTGGATAACGTAGAAGGAATGGCCATATCTTGTCTTCTGGAAGAAGTACTTCTTCAGAAGCCTGTTAAGGAGAATAATCAATTTTAGGCTTAAACGAACAGCAACAATCCCTTGGAAACATCCATATACTTTTGATAGAAGAATAAAAGAACACCATATGGGATGTTGGTAGGGTGGTGGACAGTGGTTAAGAAGAAAAATAAGTTAAAATCTTGTCTATACTCTATTGTAATATCGAGTCTTACCCAGTATGGTATTACTGAACATGCACTGGAAGTCTTCGTTTTAGACGTAGAAATAAAGACATTTCTCTGAAGGCGTTGATAATGTACATAGAATGTCCATGACTTATTATTTGATGTACTCACTACATAACATATACTATTACACAGTAAAAGATCTGGATATTTTCTTTGTATCACTAAATAGCACTGCCAAATTACTAATTCAGGTAATAATCAAACTTCTGAAGCTTATTACAAGAAAGTCGAAGGTGTTAAACATCATTTACAGCATGTCTTTTATTATACCTTTCGGGGAGAACATGCTGCGATGCGATGGATTTTCATTATGTTCAATCTTCAATGAGGCAATATCATATGCAACAGCTACATAAAAATATTTGAAAATAGAAATGCCTTTACAGAAATCTCTATGCACCAAGACAGAACTTTTCTTCCAGATAATAAGTACCTAACTTTTCAAATATGATTATTCAACTGTTAACGAAATTATATGCATTCAACCAAAACTTGAGAAGTCATACGTACTCGCAGAGTATCCAATTCTGGTCCTTCCAAGGCATCAAAGTATCGATCCACAGATAAAACTTCAACTTCTGCAGGCTGCTGAGAGTCCATGCCTAGTGCAGTTTCCCAATGTTTTCCATGCAAATTCGATATCTGTCTCCCAAATTTTTCGGACCATGTTCTAAATGAGTTAAATGGACTACTTTTCGGTTTGTCAATATTTGAATTTCTTAGCTTGAGATTCGAAGGTTTAGGAATTGTTCCATTTGGAATGGTCTCATTAAAAGTAGAACCTTTTGGCATTGAATGAGAACAAAATTTTGTAGGAACATTACTGTTTTTGGATGTAGCAGCTGAATTCGGAATATAATTGCGTGAATTTGCATCGGCATTATTTCCAGAGGAAACTTTTGTGTTCTCTAAATGAACTCCCGAAGGATAAGCTGGCATACAAATAGAAACAGAATGCGCTGCATGTAATTTAGAGAGACTATTTTGTCCTTCTACAGCAGCTTCTTCTGTTCCCTGAGATGATTAATTGACAAAAACCAGCAAGGATTTGCATGAGAAATATCGATATCAAAGGGATAATGCAGAGGTAGATTTAGATTCAGGGGAACTTGATGACACTTAGCTATTAATAAACAATATATGATTGCCCTTTTACTCATCTGAAATCTTGGCATTTTATTACTTTTAATCGTTCCTGATGTAGGCAGAAGCAACAAAGAACAAAACAGTAATCACAACACCTGTTGATTCGACAAGAATACCGTATATTGGATAACTGTTGAATCAAAAAGAATGCCAGCTATTGAACAATTTGTAGGAGAGAAACTCACAACTGAAATGCGCAATTTTATTCAAATCAATTCACTCCACTATATCAATTCTAAAAGGTCTTTTCATCACCCTTTGAGCACTAGACAAGGCAATTTAAAAGACGGAAACCTTCAATTATGCACTATTCCAATTGTGCTAATTGTCAGCCAAAACAGGTTAATGTAAGCATGTTGCTGACTCTGGATAATGACGTGCATATTCAAGAGTAAAGTTGAGGTCCCTTAACTTCCTTAAGATCCTATAAAGAATATGCTTTTCACGGACCTCTCACATACCTAAAACCAACCTCCTGGAAAATCAGGTTGAACTGCGGTCGAAGAATAAGTGTACATTATGACTACTAAGTTCCACGGAGTTTTAACAATTCTGATAATAATGTAATAAAAGGATCAATGGCTTTGGATCATAAATAAAGATAAAATGTATTCGTTTTGTATTTTGACAGCTAAACAAGGAGGATAATAACCCAACATGGCAACTTGTGCATTAACAATAATTTTCTGTTATGCACAAAGACAAAAATTTCAAGATATAATCCTCATTTGTCATATGTCAGAAAAGTGAAAACTCAGGCGTCATAATCAGGCGAAATTTTGATTCTTTTTTAAGTTCCAGAGAATAGAAAGTCGCTGCCAATGCCAGAATCAATTTCCCAGAAAAATAACAATGTAATACCGCAAAACTAATATTCATTCATAAAGGTTTAGACAAATTCAATCTGTTACGACACGACCATAATTTATTTAAATTTTTTGTTATTTATCTTCATTTGAGCAAGTCAATTTGTTGTTTGTTGGTTTAGCCACTACAGGAGTATTTTATGGAAAATTGGTAAAGACTGTTAAATGGATGAATAATGAACCTAGCAGAAATGATCTAATGAACACCGGAGAATTAATGTGCCAACTTATCAGTATTTAGGATAAGATGAGCACCGGTACTCATTAGATCATTTCTGATGAACCTAGATCTCTTTGTGGATCTTTTGGGAGGTTTAAGTTCCCGCAATTGAAGCTAATATCTACTTTATTTCCTACTTCTAGATTTTTCAGTAACAAAAAAAATGCTTTTGCAACCCAATCTGTCTTCAATTTTCATGGAATCTACATCATACATGGAACAACCAAACATTTTTTTATGAACATGATTTTTGAATGTTACTTTTCCTGCTTACAAAACTTGATTTTCTAGGAACTAAGTCTTGACTTATTTATTAGAAAAGTAGCTTTAAGCACCGAAACTATAATAAAAAAGGGTAAAATTTACCAATGACCACTCAACTTTATACTTAGTGTCACTATGGTCACTCAATTTAATTTTGTTTCATTGTAGTCACCAAACTTTATATTTAGTGTCATCATTACCACACAATTTGATTTTATTTCATCATGACCACCCAATTTCATATAATGTTTCATCAGGCCACCTAATTTCATATAATATTTCATCGTGGCCAGCCAATTTCTTTTCACCATTTTCACTAATTTTAAAAGGAGTAAATCGATAACTTTGTATTATATATATAAAATAAATTTTAAAAAAACACAAAAATAATTATTTTTTTAATTCTAAAATAAGTTTTTATTATTTTTTTAAGGAACATTTTTTAAAAATAACTTATTGTTTTATTTTATTTTTCTGAGTAATTTTTTTTAAATAAGTTTTTAATTTTTTTAAAATTTATTTTATATATATTGTAAAGTTACCATTTTACCCCTTTGAAATTAATGAAAAGAAATTGGGTGGCGATGGTGAAATGTTATATGAAATTAGATGGCCATAGTCAAATAAATCAAATTGAATGGTCATGATGACACTAAATATAAAATTGAGTGGCCACGATGACAAAATCAAATTAAGTGGTCGTGATGATACCAAATATAAAATTGGGTGGACATTAGTGGATTTAACCGTAACCTAAAATGATAATCAAGTGTTGTAAAATCCTAAATTCTTGCTTCAAAAAGTCCTCATTATCAGCTGCGAATAATCGGAAGAGAGCAGAACTGGAAAGTCCTGCAATTTGGGTTTCATTCAATATCAAAATTAGCCCATGAACAATAAGCAGTGCACTCTTCTTGTAGTGGAGGTGGAAACTAATTAAAAAGAAAATTCAGAACAGGATTATAATTTGTGTCTGTTTCAGAGAAAGGCATACTTCCAGTCACAGAAAGCAATACGTATTTATACCAAATGCATTACATCTTCAGTATAGATTCTGCCTGCGTAATGATTTCCATACATAACGAACCAGACAATGTGATGAACACTTGTTTATAAAAAGGTATCATAATATTTTCAAAAAACTAAAAAGTGGATCCTTAACAAGTTTAATAAAAGGATGTCAACGAACACATGGCCGGAATTAAATTAAGATATTTTTGAAAAATAATAAAATATATAAATAGCAAGAAAGATAGGACAAGTTCAATAAATAAATGCACACATGGGCTGATTTTATTTTTATTTATAAATGAAAATAACAACGATCTAAGCCTTGATCCTAATAACTTTAGATCGGCTACAAGAACCGAGAGTTGAGAAAAACAGATGGATACAAATAACTTTTCATGCTAAAAACACTCATCTCTTGCCATTTGCAACATAAAAAATGTTACATGTATAGCTTATACTCTTTCCTCTGTCCTCAAGCAGCTCATTTTCCTCTCTGGCACATTAATTTCGCAGGAATATCGACTTTAGGAACTCCTCCCATGATCAAGTATTGAAAATTCATGCAACACCAGGAGAATTTTCATGGTTGTGGAACCAAACAAAAACGATTATTTTGTACATCTTTCAGAATGATAATGAGGCCTCTTGGTCGGTCGAGCTCAGACTTTTAAGAGAAGACTCGATATTTTTGCCATCTGAATTCATATATTTAAAGTATTGTTCAATATCTTTAGTATCCGAGCTTCCACCTCTTCTATGGTACCATCTTCAGGTGGACTTAGGCCGCCTCTCACTTATGGCAATGGCTATGTCATTTGGAAATAGATCTCGGAGTACAAAGGCATGGAGGATAGTTGTCACGAGCAATGCAGCCACTGTAAGTGTAGCAACAGCACTGAGGAAGACAGCTAAAGTTTTAGTCACCCCATTTGTGACCATGTCCGAATACCTGATTGTGGCAATGGCAGCTCCAGTCATTGGAAAAGTGTAGGCCCACCATGCTAATGAGAATCTGCAGGTAATTATGTAGCAAAAGGTTGATATTCAAAGAAAAATGATCGAATAAGTAACTTCAAATGGTATTGGTTGAAAAACTATACCTGAAGCCTCGGAAAAAGTTAAGACGGATAGCCTGAAAACAAGAAGTGACAGGAAAATGCATTAGCTAGATGCACAATTTTATAAGTGGGTGGCAGAGAGACTTGAATGTGGAAACTCTATCTGTTTTGATATCATGTTGAATCACATCAACTAAAAACTTAACTTTGTTGACGCATTTATTTAAATTTAGTCTTTACGGGTCAGAAACAGGAAATGCTGCCTGGTATGGCTTGCTCTGAGTACTTTCATTAAGCTACAATCTTGCAGAACTTATGTAATAGCTGTGACAGAGCACTTGTCTGTTGGTTAGAAACAGACTCGAATAGCTGAGCATGAGATCAAACTGTACTTGGATTTTCCTTTCACGAATATAGACAAAAAGAAAAACAAATTGTTTTTAGAATGGGAAAAATCATGCACCACTGGTTATATTATTTAATGACTCTGCCTCAAAGTGAAGCACAATCAATTTTTTCTCTGAACTAGGAGTTTCTGAGATGGACGTTTCGCCCGATGTCTTGAATGTTTGATATTGTCTAGTTTTCTCTACCAAACATGAACTGAGATTAAGGAAAGTTGTTAAAGAGAGAGATGCATAGATGCTAAGCTTGAGCCACATAAAGACTAACCAGTGACAAATAAAGGAAAAGGGCAATGAAGTAAGAAATCCGGGATCCATAATCAAAATACCCTTGAATCTTCGCCCAAGCCATAGAAGCGACACTAGGTGCAGCAACAAAAAGAAAGAACACCGGGTGGAGTTCCTTAGGTAGTGTCTCGTTTGTTGGAAGTCTCTGATAGAGAGTTACAAATAAGACTGTGTAATGAGCCAATCCAACAGCAAAGAAAAATATAGGCCCTTCTTTCAGCCCAATGGATGCACCGAGCAAAGCCCCAACAAAATTCCCAACAACTGAGAGATGATTTGAGGGGTTGGCCACCCGAGAAAGCCTTCGTTGTCCTCCAGACATCCACTGTCCATAGATCTTTATCTCGAGGCAAAATATTGGAGTCATAAGAATGTACCATAGAGATTTGTGAAGATTTTGAGAAACTGATGCTGGAACTCCAAGAGCCAAGAACAGAAGCGCAATCCATGGTGCAAAAAAAAAGTTCACGCGTATTGGGTGGTAGTACTCACGACAAACAGCTTCAAAGTAGAATATCACTTTCAGACTATAAATGAAAGAGACAATTGCTACCAGAGCAACGGATATGCACCACAATACAAGATTTACATCCGGGCTTACATGGAGGAATTTCGTAGAAGTAGAAGTGGCTAAGGTTTTCCACATAATGGCTTGGCTGCTAACACCAAGACAGATACCAAAAGAAGAGATAGGATAACGTAGAAGAAATGGCCAAGTCTGGTCTTCTGGAAGAAGTATTTCTTCGGAAGCCTGTTAACGAGAAAATCAATGTTAAGCTTAAAATAACAGCAACAACTATCATATATATTGATAGAAGAATAAAATTACACCAAAGTGGCATGTTGGTAGGGAGGATTGGTAAGTTAAATCATGTTTGTTATAATGTTCAGTCATACCCAGGATGGTGTACCTAACATGCACTAGAATTCTATTATTTGGAAGTAGAAATAAAGAAGTTGCACTGAAGGCATTGATAAGTCACATAAAACGTCCACAGCATATTATTTGTTACGATTACTCAGTAAAAGATCCTGATATTTTTCTATACTAATAAATACCACTGCCAAATGACTAAATCAGATAATAATAGAACTTCTGAAGCATATTACAGCAAGTCAAAAGTATAAAGTGCATAATTTGTTGCACGTGAAGCATGATATCTTTCGGGGAGAACATGCTGCCAAAGATTTTCATTAGGTTCAATCTTCGATATATTCCATATGCAACTGCTGCATAAAAATCTTCAAAAAGAAGAAAGAAAGAAAGAAAGAAATATAAGTGTATTTGAATGAAGTCTCAATTGCCCATTANATGTATGTATGTATGTATAAAGAAATATCTATGCACCAAAACGGAATTTTTCTTCCAGATGGTTAGTACCTAAGCTTTGCAAATATGACCACCATTCAACTGTTAAGGAAATAATATGCATTAAACCAACAGTTGAGCAGTAGAAAAAACGTACTCGTAGAGTATCCCATTCTGGTCCTTCCAAGGCATCAAAATATCGATCCACAGGTAAAGCTTCAACTTCTGCAGGCTGCTGAGACTCGAGATCTTGCGCAGTTTCCAGGTGTTTTCCACGCAAATTCGATATTTGTCTTTCTAGTTTTCCCGACCCTGTCTTAAATGGGTCGAATGGTCTATTTTTCAGCTTGTGAATCATGGGATTTCTTAGTGGGAGCTCCGGAGGGTTAGGAACTGATCCATTTGCAATGGCCTCGTTGAATGCAGGACCTTTTGGCATTGGTTGAGAATAAAATTTTGTTCGTGTTGTCTTCTCGGATGTAGCAGCAGAATTTGGAATATCATTGCCCGCAATTGCTACATCTTTATCTAGGGAGGGAAGTTCGTTCGTGTTTTCTAGATGAGCTCCCAAAGGAGAAGGTGGCATGCTGATGGAAACAGAATGTGTTATTTGGGAATGAGAAGTATTATTTTGTCCTTCTGCGGCGGTTGATTCAGTCCCCTGTGATTGAATAACAAAAATGGGAGTCAACAAGATAGCACAGTGGCGAATTTAGACTCACCGAAACATGATAGCAGATAGCACTTTTCTATCGACAAAGAAGAAGGATTGCACTTTTATATAAATAAAATCTTGGTGCATCTGAGATTTTACAACTCACCACAGCTGAGGAACTGAAGCAATGAAAGCCGGATAATTTGAGCCGATATTTTTCATCATCATGATGCATTACACAATCAAAACCGGCCACCTCAGGTGCAGTAGTGACTTTGATTAGCGATGGAAGTTCTTCAATGCCATCTTCCTTTGCCATATAAGCTGCTTTGCTCTTCTCCATAGCAAGGCAATAGCACCTATATGTATGTACTTTATATTAGACTGGATTCTTGTTATGGATAAACTCTAAACCCTTCTTATGAGAGCAATAACAAATCGAGCAAAATCACCCCCCCTAAAAATTACTATTTTATGGTAGGAATATTAGACAAGCGTATACTATATTAAGCTCCAGACGGTTCAAGAATTCTAATAACACTAGAATAGATACAAACCATGTCTTTAGGTCATAAATGAAGACAAGAGGAGAGGTAAATAATACTACCAGTTAAAGATAAAATCATAAGCTACCAAGTTCTGGTGTCAATTCCCAGAAAACTAGCAATGTAATACTCCAAACCTATTTGATTCAATCTGCCTACAGTTGTCATGGAACTCCCATATGGGGGCTTAGAACAGTTAATATTACAATCTAATGCCATCCATAAGAAGAATAAATGTTTCACCAAATTTGTCCATTTTCAGCTGGAAATTCCTCTAGAACTGAAATAGCTGGTGAATATATGCTGCTGATCTCGTCTGCTTATACTGTTGAATCCTAACAGTGCATACCAAACGTGCTCGTGGTGTACAGTGATACTGATAACCATAAAATAAATTAATGTGTGTCAATCATGCTTGCATGATCTTGAACTCTTACCTCAAAATTCCTAACCCATCTGCTAATTAAGGAAACCAATGCAGTCCTTCAATGCCAAAAGTACTCCGAAAACTGGAAGATCCTGCAATTTGGGTTTAAGTGAAGAACCAGAATTATCCCAAGAACAATAAGAAGTGCGCTCTTCTGGATATGGAAGAAAATATTTGGATTAAAATAAAACAAAGAACAGGGTTATAAATTGTGTACAAGAAACACACTTCCAGCCACATAAAGCAATATGTATTTCTAGCATTCAGGATCAAATGCATTGCATCGGTCCACTGCCATGATGGTTACAAGTAATATGTGATAACGAGTATGTTCCCAAGAAAATTGTTTATTTTACTGATTACCGAAAATAAGTTAAATGTAACTTTACAATGTGAAATAATTAACCAAACGAGCACAGGTTAAAAACACACAGTATTATAGGTTTGAATAATTTTGTCATTACATAGGCTTGATCACCGTACGTACTTGACAGCTAATAAGTAAAAACACGTATGCACATAATCTGCTTACACAAGTATGAAATAACTTCTACTTATTCTGAAAACTACCCAAAATATTTTTAGATCAATTTTAATTTGTTCGTTTTATAAAGAGAAATCAAAATTCACATAAATATGATTAAATACTCTGTACAAAAGATTAAAAAAAAAAAGTTCAAATATTATTTTTGTCTGCATTAAAAGTAAGAAAAAATATTTTTTTTTTTTTTTAAAAGCATATATAATAATATATAGACCATAAGGAGAGAGCACCAAAATAGAAAACTTAAGTTTCTATTATTATCGTAAAACTTCAAAGAAGATTTATGTAATTTGCTCCAATATTAATCACCAACCAACCGTAGTTACCAAGATAGCTTTTAAACAGATAGATCGTTCTAGACAAAATGTTCTTCTAGAGTTTCCGAAATAATATGCTTAGCTAAGATTTTAGTACTAAACAAACAATTAATGTCATAGGATTAACCCCAAATGAGAAAATGTGTCCATTTTATGAAATGCAACTTTTTATAAATACTATGAAAATTGCCAATTTGATAAAAAGAAATACTAAAAATATTTTTATTATCGATTCTTGCCAGACATTTTAGTTGTTGGATATATGTATATAATTCCAAACAGTTACAGTTCATTGTGTACAGTACTGTCATGGGGAAAAGATGAAAAGAAAGAAAGAAATGTCACGATTCATGAAGGCGTACTATCCTGTGTGTTACTTGGGTAATGAATGTTCCTTAATAGCTGCTTTTGAAAGCTTAAACTTTTTGTCTGAAAATTGTGCAATTATCGAACAGGGCTTATATATCATACTTTTTAGAAAAAAAAAAAAACAATGAGCGTCGTACAAAAGTAACCACTTCGTCAATATTGTCAAAAGGTTGCCATTTTATTTCTTTCATAAAAAGTGGCTATTTTGAAAAGGGAAAGGTTGGGTGCGCAGAACCCCTACCGACAACTCACAAAATGGGGGAAGGGGATGATTTTTTATTTTTTTTTACTTTTTTATTGAGGTGACCCACCTCATATGAGATGGTGTAGGGGTTCTGTTCTGTTCTGTTCAAAGGGATTAACCCTTCTGGAAAAACAAAACAAATTTTAAAAGGATGTCAATAAAAACATAATTACTGGAATTAATTGGGCCCTCACATATTATCATGGAAAAAGAAAGGGAGGCTAGGGTTTTATTGATTCTGTATAATGTGATTGAATAATGAAAACCTAGATATAAATAAACTATATATAGTCTAAAATAAAGGAAATATAAAAGACTATTAAACCCTTAATAAATAATAAAAACAAAATAATCATATGTTTCTTAACATAGAGAACCTTACTTACGGTCCTCACATAAGATTTTTCTGTCACATCAGCAAGTGGGCAGGAAAACAATTTCGCCGGTTCTGATTTTAGAGTGTTGTTGATTTGATTACATAACTGAAATGCAGAAAGTTTTTACGACTTTGAAGCACAGAAATTAAAGGCGCAAGAAAAAGAAAAGATACCAAATGAGCTTTTAAAATTTCGAAAGATTCTATAAAGATTTGCTGATTGTGCTTTCTGTGCTTTTCACATATTTCAAGAAAGTTGCAGTCCAGCATGTTAAGGAAGTTATTATACAAGTATAAAAGTCCATCCATAAAATGTTTATCGATGGTCAGTTGAACGTATCAAATACGTCGTAAATATACGAGTATAAAAGTCCATCCATCCATATCAGGAGCTAAATTCATTACAACCAGCACTATATCAGTTCAGTCCAACGGGGGCTATTACACGAGACTACCACAAATAATGAATATTACCTCATACATGCTCCTCAAGTACACTAAAACTATACAACAAATATAAACAACTATTTCTATATTTTATGCAGTTAAAAGTGTTTTCAAAGGAATACCGCACTTCCTTTTTTGGCATACACACTCTTCAACATTCCCAAATTTCTTGTACAAAGTCATCGACTGTTGACATATTTTGATCACAATAATTATCGACGAGAAGCATATGAAAGCTTCAACACAGTCAGTGACAGGTAATTAATAACATTTTTACCATATTTTTTCATAAACAAGTGAGATCAATCAGAACTTCAGAAGGCAACCAAATGGACTGACAGATCTTATCAGACCGGGTGTTATTATTCTATCTGCATTTTTCTTGGACCACGTGCATGGGGGCCCTTAACTTTTTCACTAGAAGTTGAAGCTAACCAACCGGTGATAATACAAGTAGGACATGCCCTTGATCTGTTCATTTTTCTTACACTATGTTCTGGAAGTGTTTATAAACATATTAAAAGTCGAATAGGTTTTTATTTACATATTTCGTAGCTTCCATAAGTACTATATACTTATTCATCACCCATTTCTATCTGTTTATAGAAACAACTGTTTATAGTTTATAAACACGTCACGTGCCAAACCTATATTTTACTTCTTGCCTGCAAACTTGTCTGTCTAATCAAGAAAGGGTTCTTCATGATTACCCACTTCAATAGAAGAAATGAACAATGTCCCATGCTGATTAAGAACAGGAAAGTTTAAGAATTCATAATCTTATTATTCTGAAATTGGGTTTGTTCTCTACGAGTATCTAAATAATTTTACGGGATGTGTATATATACAACACATAGACATAGGCAAAAATAATAAGTTTAAAGTTTCAATTATAATAGGTCAATGTTGTTAACAATGAATAGTACAAATTCTTTTGTTGAATGTTGTTTTATACTGATCAAATTGCACATTTTTAAGTTTTGTGAGTTTTCATATATACTCTACTGAGTCTTTAAAGTTTCAT